CGGCCGAAGACCGCCTACGCAAGAAAGAAGTTCGTTTTCATGTATGCACTATTTCGGTTTTTGTCGAAACTGTGCATTTATGCATTACTTCGGTTTTCGTCATATGCATTATTTCGGTTTTGAACCGAAATTATTTCGATTTTTTTTGGTATGCATTATTTCGGTTTTTTCCATATGCATTATTTCGTATGCACAGTTTTCATATGCAAAATTCGGAGGTTTGCCACACGGTTAAAAATATCGGTTTTAATTTTAAAATTTTTGGGCTACATATATGATCAAACTAAATTCAGTTTCAAATACAAACCTTTCAAATTTAAAAAAAGAGAGAACATATTTTCGGTTTAGAATTTAAAAAGTTTGGTTTAAATTTTAAACCCAAACATTTTCATAATTAAGAATAAAAATAAAATCATAAATTTCATGCTCCGTCTGATGGGATTGAACCCGGACAGCCTTGGTAGCAACCAATTGTATCAAGCAGCTTTGCACACTCATCTACAGCCATGCATGTAAATGTGCTTTCATATGTTGAGTTTGAATCAACACCACATTTTCTATTTCGGTTTAGATTATAAACAAAAATAAAATAAATATGAGACCTAGAAACTAGAATTAAAACATGTTGGTTAGATTTTTAAACCACTCATAGCAAAACATCATTTTCTCGGCTGCTAAACTAAATTTTAAACCAGCATATATTAAAAATTGCAGTAGTCCCAGCTCGGTTTAAAAATTAAACCCGAATTTTTGACCGTGCATTGTCTGCCGAGGGATTACAGCTATTAGAAAACACTTTTTCTTTTATTTTTTATTTTTTGTTGTTAGTCGGAAACTGGGCGCGATCACTGCGGAATGGTAGTGCGCACTTCTAACCAATACATCACAGCGGTCGCTACTCATATTAGTAGGATATTTATGGCACCCTGAAATTGTGCATATGGAAACTGCATATCGAAGTCAGTTCATGAAAAACAGCTACTCATAAAAATACAATCGCCGTTTGGAGTCGGTGTAAAAGGGGAGGCCCTTTGTGTAACAACATCTAAGCACACGCTTCAAATCTGAGGAGAAGCTCGGCCAAACTCTAACATATTGTGTAAGCGCCAAATTATTATTGTTACTATTATTAATACATAGAAGTACGTTTGGATGTTTGTTTCTTCTTCACGTGAAAGTTGTTCAACGGCTCTGAGTGAAATTTAACGAGTAGATGTTTTGTAGCTTGGATTGAAAAACATGATACTTTTTATAACGGTAAATGTCTTGGTTTAGGGATATAAACTATTGTTTCGTGTTATTTGGTTTGCTCGTTTTCGTTGAAAGGGGCAGGATTTCGTTCTACTCTTTGCTTCACACATGATATAAATTTGTGCACACTGGCAAAAAATTATAAATTATACAGTTTTGAATATACGAATATTAATTAATAAAATATGTGGATATAGTATTAATTTTTTATTACATATGTATTTGCGTACAAAAAAATAAACACTTTTTTGTGTGGCTCGCTTTGTAAGCTGATAATAGAGTTTAATTTCGTCAACTTTATATGTTTCTCTAACTAATTTCAAAAAATAGTAGATCATATGTACATATACATATAAATGTTCCATCAATTTTGTTTTATTTATTCTGTACTTTTCGCAACACCCGCTAAAACTCCCCAGTCAATACTGATATTAAGCAATTTCAAAAAAGTCATCTTTGACTATGCGCACTCTCAAACAGTCCTAAACACTTTATAAAAATATAATGCATTTTTGAAGTTATAGAACATTTCTACTATGACCACATACATTTTTTTTATTATTGACGCTCGAAATTTGAAATTGGAGCTATGTATGCATTTTACTAATTATGCAATATTTGAGATACTGTTCATACTTAAAAATTTAAAAGATAAACATTTAAATGTTGTCGAAATACTTATCGCTGTAACTGTATATTTATGCTTATAAGTGGGTATGTGTGTATCCACAATAGTGGCCAGACAAAGGATACCAACACTATTTTATAAAAATCAGCAAAATTACTAAAAATTAAAAACCAAATTTCAAAGGCAATCTATTACACCGTGCGACAAAAACCAAACATTTTTAAAACACACGAAAAAATCAATATATTCACAAAACTGGGAGCCAAATATAGTATAACGGCGATTTTAATTTTTCTTTCTGACGTCAGGATTTTTTTAAAGGACTTTGAAATTTCTAGGTAACAATATGGGTATCAGTTAAAAGGAAAAATTCTGTAGAATTAAAAAATAATAATAAATGTTGAAAAGGTCCTTTTAAAACTTTATTCTTGAATATGCTTGGAAATTTCCAATTTCAATACTTATTCGGCGATGCACGCAAAATTAAATTTTTTTCTATTCTACAGAGTTTTTCCTTTTAATTGATACCCATATTGTTATTCTACAATGCACCGCATCTTTTGAATAATTTTTTTATTCAATCTTATTCTAGAAATTTCAAAGTCCTTTTAAAAAAATCCTGACGTCAGAGGGAAAAACTAAAAACGCAGTTTTACTATATCTGGCCCCCAGTTTTGTGAATATATTGATTTTTTCGTGTTTAAAATTGACTGTCGCACGGTGTTATACTATCATTTCTGTAAAAAATGTTTGGATTTGAACAAAATTTAAGAAAAGGGATTTATGTAACTTGACGTATGAGTAACGCATTTTTTTAGTTCATGTTCGTAAATAAAAGTATGTATTGAAAATGCCAAGATTGAAGCATTATTTAATATGTGCATGCGTGTAAGACTGCCTCTTTCAATTCTATCTCATTTCTAGGATTTTTTTTATTCACATGTGTCTTGAGAATGACCCAGTAGTTCTTTAGCGGATTAAAAGCTGGGCAATGGTAACATTTATATCACCACCACTGTATATAAATATGTACAAATGTCCGTACAAATGTGCATATTATGGCTAAGTCAAGTTGCACTTTCTCATACACAGTGAAACTTCCAACTGAGACAACATTCAGAGATGAGTATTTTCGTATTCTTCCTACTTACGAACATACAATTATTATGAGCATGCATAAGACAACTGCATTTACCTGCTAAATGCAAATAAAAAAGATATGTTATGAACGAAATCCGTAATAAGGCAAGATCATGATGTAACAGTAAAAGCTCTGTTATTATGTTTTCACTCTGCTTATGATACATTTATGTACATATATATATAAGTACATACATACGTATGTATGTAAGTACATACGTATGTATGTGGATATGAATCTGGGTTCACCACTGCATGCCTGTGCTTCCGAATTTGATGTCAAGAAATTAAGAAACGTTTTATTTTTTGAATTTTATACAATTTTGCTTTGCAGTTCACTAACTCCCAGTAAGTGATTAAAGGTCAATTTTAATGATTTATGAAGTACTGTTGAATCTCGACTATCCGCGCCTCCATTAACTGGGAACATCTATTATGCGAACGGTATGCTGAATGATGGACTCTCTACCTTACATATATACATATGAAGTACATATCATGTATGTACATATTCATCTCTATTCGCTTTTGTTCTGCAGGTGGCAAGTGACGACCATAGGCCAACGATTCCATGCATTACCGATTGTAATGGTCTGATTATGCATACTTCGCATAACTTTGCACAACTTCGCATAAACTTTAAACTGTAATTTTGTATGTATTTTGTATGTATTCCATTACCCGTAAATTAGCAGAACTTTTAAAAGCTTAGGGATATGTTTAGTTTAGTTTTTGCTTCGCATTTTCTTAAGTTAAATTTTTATTGCACTGGTAAAAATGGTTGTGCGAAGTTATGCGAAGTATGCATAATCAGACCTTTAAGCAATTCGCTAACGTATGCAATTTGTTATGAGAGTTGAGAACTTTCATTTACCTCCCATTACGGATGATTTTAACAAATTTTTTGAAGAAGTTTTCTTCTGCATAATGCTTTTGTAGAGCATGTTAATTAACCCTGTAAGCCTTAGGGTCTAAGGGCCGTTTTCTCAAGTAGCTTTTAAAATGTACATATCTGCCTTTCAAACAAATTTTTTGAGAACAAAATTTGTGTTTAAAGGGCAGATAAATTTTAAAAGGTACTTGAGAAAACGGTCCTAAACGTAATTTTTATTTATTATTTGTTTTATCATTTTATTTATATAGCTTATTTACTTATTTACTCAATTACCTATACCTTCATGTAAGTGCCAGAAGAAGTAGAGGTGGGCCCATGAAAATATATAACGTCAAGCTGAACCGATTTAGTCATGCGCCTCTGTCTATCTCTCTCTCTGTCTGTCAATTTGAACACAATCTAGTTCCTCAATTTTCGTGGTTTTACTTTAAAACTCGGCTAAAACCAAAAAATTTCGTGAAGTGTTTTCTAAATAATCATCAAAGTCCACTGAGAAAATCGTAAAGATCGGTGCAACAACCAATTTCAAGCCCACTCATCGTTCGGAGGCGGCGTAAAACTATAGGTATATCCCATTTGTGTAACAATATCAAGGCGCACGCCACAAACCGGAGGAGAAACTCGGCCAAACACTCTCATATGTTAGTGCCAAAAGCTATATCAATTGATATTATGTTAAAAAGGATTCCTAATTTAAAGCAATGTTCTTCTTCTTTAAAAGGGTTGAGTGCCTAAAAAAAATGTGACTCGATTTCCTCGCATAGAAGATTTTCATTCAGTCCTATCGCCAATTCCATGTGAATAAATTGTTCCCATGATTTAACGAGCGAAACAAAAACAAATTGGGAAAAATTGTTCTTGTTTTGCTTTATATTTTTTGGGAATATTTCTTCGTGTGATATTCGCGATAGGGCCGATTGTGATTCGAAGCGATTAAACCATTTTTCACTCTCTAGAACTGCCTACCCTTTTTTTTAAATTTAACACTAAATACATAAGTACATAGTCTCCATTTTCATATGAAATGTCCTAATTTTTCGCATTTCTGATATTTTTATGTTTTTTATTTTATATGAATTTAGTTGCCCACAAAATACACTGCACAGAAGACCAGATGCAAGTAGAAATCCAAATACCTGACACGGGCAGCGTCATTTCAAACAAAGATGATTCAAATTCTAAAACACAAATATATCTCGAGGGTCTCAAAGATTATCCCAATGAACGTTGTCAGCCTCAAATAAATGAACTCCAAGCTACATTCCGGCTTTCTTTGACAGATTTTTACGAATGTGGGGTCACGCGGATGGTGAATCAATTGACGGTAAGAAAATGTTTTTTATTGAATACATATGTATGTATGTACATATGTATATACGAGGGTAGGTAATAATATGTCTGGCCTAACAATAGAAAAATTAACATTGATGGTGCAAAACGGTTTTGTTGTTTTTCAAAATATTCTCCAAGATGATCGATGCACTTTTGAATTCGTCCGAAGCACTCGACACGAGCCTCTTTCTGGGCGTTTTTTAAATTGAGTAGGACCCAGTGCGAACACACTTTTTACAACAAGATGATCACATAACATCTTATTTATGCTCGTCATACTAATATCCACGGATGCCTCAATCTCATGGTATCTGACATGATGATCTTGCTCAAACATTTCGCCCACAGATTATATATTCATTTATCTATTTAACATCAGATTTTGGAATTCGTCGCTGAGCGAACAGCGACCACGAGAAAGTTCATTGTACCAGTTTTTTACGGTGCTTGTTCGCCGTGTAATGATTTTAGTTCATGGCCGCATTTTTATCTTGTTAATCCACGTCGAAATTTATGAAAAATAATAGCACGAAAATGTTAACTTTAATTCCATTTTTTTTTGTAGAGATAAATTTTTAAAGCCACTGTAAACAACATTACATAGTTCATACACCAAAACGTCCCGAGGGCGTTTGAGGTAAAATTTGTCAAACTTTCCAATGGAAACGTAAGATGGATCCCGACAATATTAGATGTGCTTAATACCAGAAATATACCTAAATAGCAACCCTCGTATCGTCGTTGCCAATGCAAATTGACAATTTGACATTCTTGTCTGAAGTTTTGTTTGTTTATTTGAAAATTTCATCCTAGAACAACAGTTAGACAAAATTGTTTTGTAGTGCTAGTCACAATTCATTATTAACTAAGTAATAGAGGTTGTATATAAGAAAATAAAAATATTTTGTTTGGGACAAAAAACCTTCTAACTGATTTTGTTGTTAATATTTTGCTAATCTGTAAATGCAATTTTCCTCCTTAGTTCGTCTTGTTTCAGTACCAATAATCGACCAATTTCAAAATAAAGCTGTTGCAGACTTAAAGACTCTTTTGGAACTTACCACATTTTCTCTATATGATTTTGTTCTTTTAATGTGGACTTAGCACATTTTCTATCACACTGTTTTTCATTTTTGTTAAAAGATTTATTTTAAATATACTTTATTGTTTTAAAAGGAATAATAACCTAAATAGTTTTATCTCATTGCTGTTAACAAAAACAACTATTTTAAGTCGTCAATTTATGTACCATTTATAAAGGAAAATAATTAAAAACAAGTAAAGAAGTATAAGTTTGGGCGAAACCGAACATTATATACCCGGCGCAGGTATCAAATATCGTAATTTAAACTTTCTCTAAACTGCTTTTGCATGATCACCGATCTCAAACGTTTTCGATAATATGTAGTCCGAGGTCTTTCCGTACACATAAGTCTACAATATCAACAATCTAGCTATGTAAAAACCAAAAATTTGGCTCGATAGAACTTTTTGTGCTGATTTCAATCCTACCAAGCGGAAGTAAATAGTAGAAAAAATATCAATGGTTAAAGTTAAATTTTTTTTTTTTATTTTTATATTATTATCTTTTGAAAAAACAGAACCTATTAAAAAACTAATAACGTCAAAATAAAGGTAATTAATTTTTCTTTCATGTGCGTATGTAATTTATATGCTTTTTTTATATTTTTAGTCCGGAAATACTAAGAAACGAAAAAAAATGAAAATATATTTTTTTAAATGGCGTTTATATAAAATTAGTTTTGAAACTGGTTATAGTATATACGTCGCATAAAAGGTCTTTAAATTATGTTGAAATTAGCATCAATAATTTTTTAATCCGTCAAGCAGTTTCCGAGATAGAAAAGTTTAGCTTTAACCGCTTTTATTGGCTTTGGTTTTTATTTGCACCAAATAATTTTGCTATAGTTTAAATCAGCGTAAATAGTTCTATCGATCCTCATTTCTTGCTTTTTTTTATAGCTAAACGGTTGCTATTCTAGACTTATGTGTTCGTATGGGTTAAACCCTGTAGTACGAGAACAGGCTAAATGAGAATGAGAAAAAGTAAACAAAAAAATGTCAAATTAAACTCCGAGTTTCTTAAACACCCCACTGTGAACACTTGACAGTTGTTCATAAACTCAAAATCTTAAACTCGAGTTTATGGATCAATGAGAACGTAATATTTTAATGCAAAAAATAGTTGAAAAAGTTAGCAAATTTTTTTTATTTCCAAAATGCTCGAAAACCGCTCGAATGATTTTGGTTTTGTTTTTTTTAATAAAAAATTCAAGATTTTTCCTTTCATTTTGTATATGGGAAGTATTGGTTGATATCTTCTAAGTATGTTTATTTATTCCAATATAAGGACATAAATGCTTTTCCATACAAAATCACTTCGTCATCAATTTGCAAACACGTGCATGCGCTGGAAGTGGGAGAAGGAGACAAAATGTATGTGTGTATAGGTATTTCGGCTTAGGAATAAAAGATGGCGCAATATTTATGAAAGGCAAAGATGAAGGGGAATATGTAGATGAAGATTATGATAAACATAAAAGAAAAAACAAAGATAAATATTAAGAAAAATATGAGGAGGAGGATACCGATAAAAGTAAAGACGAAGATAGAGGAAGAAAGATTAAAATAAAGGTTATTATAGAGAAAAGGATATATACAGAGTAGGGATGTTGCGAATGTGGAATTTGAGACATCCGCGGATGTGAATGCGGATGCGAATATCTAACAGCTAACATCCGCGGATGCGGATGCGAATGCGGATGTCAAGTATTTTTAAGAAGCAATTAGTATTTTTAAGAAATCTAGCATAATGGCGAGATCGTTGTTTACACAGCGCTTACAAGCCATTCTAAATATGTCAGGTCTTTCTAAAGCTTTTTAAAAAGAATTCTTCATTCTCCTTCCTATGGCTGTTTCAGAATTTGGGGAATCTGTAACGTCATCAGCGTCTTTCAATTTGAGTTTTTGTAATTCATTTTTAATGCTTTCTTTTACGACTGGGTTGAAAAATTTGTGCTTATAGCGAGCTAAATTGGTGGATATGGAAAATAAATTATTATTTTCCAGGAATGAAAATTTTGAACAAAATTCTGTTTTTAAAGTCGTGGCTGCCAGCCGAATCGGATCAGAATATTGTTATTTTTTTAAAAAAGCACCCTGTTTTTTAAAAGCATTTGAATCTCAGACAGTTACGTAATTCTTATCTTATTAAAGGTCAGACCTATCGTGTTTTTAATTATTTGAGCATCGATTCTCTTTATAGCCAGACGTTGATCATTTTTGCTGGAAATCCCTATTGAAGGAGCTTACTCTTTGACTTTAAATAGCAAAGATGGGACAGTTTTACCACAGAAGATTTTAGCCAAGGATTCAATGTATATCCGCATGAAAAAAATACTGCCCGACGGGTAAACAAAATTAATGTTTTTAACATTTTTGCTAAAATTAAATTTCCCAAAGATCCCCATTTGAAATTATTGAAACAAGTATATGTAACATCAAAAGCAAATCACGAAAATTTGATTAAAAATTACAGTGCACACTTTCTTCTTTTGTGTCTGGAATTTTTTTTTAAGATTGGTCCAAAAAAATCATAATAAAGAAAGAAACCAATGCAGGTATTTAAACCACAAAAACAAAATTTTTAAAGAGACTGTGTTCTCTTTGGCGCACGTCAAAGGTCAAGTAGAAGTTGGAACCTGTATGACTGCCCATTAATAGCGCGGTTATATAGCTTAAGAAATAATATATTTAAAGACATTTTTATCAAAGTTGATAAATATGACATTTGACTTGTTTTGTTACACAAATACAAAAATATTTGTCATTTTGTTTGCCATATATACGTTTTATCGGTGCACTTGCACAATATTCGCATTCGCAAAAGCTCCGCATTGATTATTGCGAATGCGAAAGCGAATGCGAATTTTAAAATTAATGCGGAAGTTCGCAACAACCCTGATACAGAGATTCAATCTGGGAACTATTTCGTGATTTAAGAAATTTTCGGAATTCTCGGGACTTTTCGATATAATAATCGATATTTTATCGGTTTTGTTATTGATATTTCTTATCGATTTTGTTATCGATATTGTTATTGATTTTGCTATCGATATTTTCTGAACTTATCGATATAATAAACGATATTTTTTATCGACTTTAGTATCGATATTTTAATAGACTTTGGTATGGATATTTTTATCGATTTTGTTATCGGTTTTTCTATCGATATTATTATCGATATTTTTTTCTTAGTATGTGCTTTCGGTTTTGACTTGGATGTGCTCTTAA